AGTGGCCAAAGTGAAATTTCATCACCCAAAATTATGAAATCACAGAATATGTTCCAAGTTCCAGAATGGTGCCCTTTGGAATAAAAGGCAATGCATACTAGAAGTTTGGAGAACATCATACTATAGGCTTCAGTTTATAGCTCCTTTTTAAAAATATAGCAGATAACAACATACTGATAATTCTTAAAAAACACACTTATCCAATATGATTCTTTGTCTACAAAACTACACACATGTAAGTATGAGTGGGTCTGAGCATTTCTAGGTGCCTAGGAAAAACAAAGAAAATAATTATAATAGTAATTAATAGTGATTACAATTTAGAGGTGATTTTACTTTCTTCTTGTTTTTTTGGAAAAGAGGCAAAAATGCCCAATAAAGTTAAGAGCTGTATTAAGGTTAACATCTATATCACATAATACAAAATACAGCTGGTACTAGAGGTCAGAAATGTCCTTTTGCACCATGCAGACATTGCTAGATTCAGAAATGAAAGCGCCCACACGCACATGAGGAAGGCATTATTAGTCCCCTCTTATGTATTCAAAAACCAGGACTCAGAGTAGTGAAGTAACTTGCCCAGTCACAGAGCAAGGAAATGGAAAACATGGGGCTAGAATCTAGATCTTCTACCATTCCTGAGGGCAGAATAGGATCATTAGGTTAAAAGCAAGGGTTTTGCATCAGTTTGACCTTCGTTAAGTACCAGCTATGTCACTTATTTGCTGGTAAACTTGTGAAATTTCTGAATTTTTCCAATCCTAGGGCTCCCTGTAGTTCTTTGCCTCAAAGGGGTAGGATGAGTAAATGATACAGTGATAAAAAGCCCTATTACAACCTCTGACAAAGGGAAAACACTAATCATCTCAATCACCATGCCTCGCAGCCTCTGTGGGAGGTATGGTGGAAGGACTCCAGTTCTGGAAGCCAGCAGACATGTCTGCTCATTAGGCTCAGCAGCCTGATTCTCTAGTTTCAGAAGCCAACTGGGATCAGGCTCACGGTACATCGAAGCAAGGCTATGGGATGGGAAATATACAATATCAGCCCCAATCCTGGACATCAGACTCAACCCAGGAAAACATCAGCCCAAGCACAGTAGCCAGTTTGGGAATTTCTAGGACTTCTGATTCAAAGTCTAAAATGGGAGTAGAGATTCCAAATTGTTAAAAAGCTTTAGGAGAATCTAAAGAGCTAACAGTCAATGATAAGTTATCAATCTGATATGTTGGAATAGAACATTTCTGTGAATACAGAAGGGGCCCCGTCTAATTGTGAGCAATGAATCATTCCATGGGTGGCCCCACAATGCATCAGGAAAGGTCAAGGATGGATGGCTCAAGGGCATCTCTGTCCAGGAGAAAGGGCAGTGACTGCCTAGGACCAGAAGAACTGAAACCATCCCAAACTAGTAGCAAGACAAATGTTCAGAGGTACCTCCCTGCCTTAGATGCAGGATGATTTCAGAGCTGGAAGAGACTTCAAAGTTAATCTTATGTGTTGTACAGATAGAACTCACTAATGGCAGAATGCAAAGGAACTTGCCAAGACTTGGAGAGACCCACAGAGCAACGATTCACAATAAAATTCCTTAATAAATACTGCTTAATGAAGTCATTATGAGAAATACGGCAAACACTGGAAAGCAGGACTTCAAAATGATGTTTTTTAAAGAGGTAAAAGTGTCTCAGCTGGGGAAGGTCCACAGCACTCAGAAGCATCATACTACAAGTTTAGAACTTGGAAGTGGCCATGTGGTATTTGAGCCTGAAAAAAAAGACAGGAGTCAGCAAATTTACTCTCCTAGAGTTGGGGGCAAAGGAAAAGAGGGAGGGGTCTCCCAAGATGCATATAAATTTCTCAGAGATGTTCACCATTACTCACCTCAGGACCCTGCATACTTCTTGCAGACAGCAAAATAGTCAGTAAATATTTGCTGAGTGCATGAATATAAAAGAAGCGATAAAGACAGTCAGACAGGAAAAATCATTTCTGCTCCTACACAAGCAGGAAACTGGATGGTGAATTTCTGGTAAGTGGGCCTTTTGGTATTTAACCCAAGGGCATTGGAAACTGATGGCTAGTACAGTGGAGGAACATGAACTTTGAGTAAGACATTACAGGGTTCAAATACAAAACCTGTACCATCTGGGTATAAATATTTGACCTCTTTGAGCCTCTTTGTTTCATAAGATGTGTAATACCCATCTTAAACTATTTCATACAGCTAATCTATTACACATCTAATACTTCATCGCCAATGGAGATATGATGGTATTTATTCTTACAAAGTTCTTGGAAGGACATTACATGAACTAATGGATTTATGCAGTTAGCTAGCACAATGGTCAGCACACAGAATAAGCATAACAAATGGCAATGTATGTTGGAATTAATCATGTCCTCTATAGTCAGAGCCTATATTCTTCTAGGCTGCCTCTAATCATACTCCACAATCCTTTTGGAAACCAAGCTGCAGAAGTAATTCCAGTGTGTTCATTCACTAGATGGTCTAGTAATGCCCATTTCTTTAAAGAAATGATAAAGCCTTTTTCATTTACAAAGTAACTTCACATTCACACATAATTCTGAAACTGTTACTGTTAACTATGTGTAACAGATGAAAAAACTAAGACCTCCCAACCAGCAAGAGGCAGACTGGAACAAAATGACAGATTTCAACAAGACCATGGTTTTATTCAACCATAAATTCAAATGAGTGAATTTATGGAGTAAAGATTATGACTCGCATTGCTCCGGAAATCATCACAGGTGCTACTTGGATTAAACTAGTACTTATACTTGAAATCAGAAACAAAATCTAGAAAGAAACAATAATATTTCTTTAAACAAAGCCCTTCTTCTGAATTAATGCATCCTATGTTTAATAGTTTGTAAAAGAGGAACAAATCTTAGATTCAGGTTGCTTCAGTTTTAATAACATCTCTTCCATTTATTAGCCATAGGAATCTGAATGGCTCTTAGCCCCACCAAATTTCACTATCTTCATCTGTGTAATGGGAAAGCAATACCTACCTAGTCTACTATAGCTCTGTGTGATGTCCCTGGCATGGAGAAGGCAATCTGTAAATGAGAGCCACCCTACTAACAATGCCAGGGTACAGACCAGTTGTTGGGTAAGCACTGACTTGTCTTCTTCTTGGCTGCTCTAGCTTCTGCATACCCCCAGTTCTGGATCTGTCCAATGGCGACACAACCAGTCTCCATTCAACCTCACCAGGGAATGAAGATAACAAAAGAACTGGCAGAGACATTATGCAAATACCAAATATTATTAAAACATTAATGAACTCTGGCAATTTCCCTGAATTTTGATAAATGGTGTTTATTATGCACTGCCAGCCTCTCACACAATCTGGGCTCCCAAATATTAACTAGATAATAATAGCAATCATTCTCCTAAAAGACCAAGGTATGGAGAAATAAGAAATTAATCTAGACGACTCTAGCTGTCTCCAAGGAATCAATCTCTGCATAAGCAGAGAAAGTCAGGATAGATGACAGAGACCACTGAGACCCTAGTGACTCCCTAGACTCTGCAGATCAACCCCATAGCTTGTGTAGAACCTTGCTCCAATAGGACAGTGAAGTTCCCTGGTGTTGCCAGGTCACTGATTATGGCAACTCTCTACCATGGCTTCACACTTCTGAGTGAAGTTGTATCCAAAGTAGACAAAAGGGTGTGGGGAGTTGGGCAACTTTATTCCAAACTAACAACCTTATATGGAAAGAAAGTGGCTGTGCCACCCCCCTGCAGTTTTCCCCTATCCCATGTTGAAACCAGCTTCATTAAAGAGGCTTGCACCAAATTTCTCTGCATTTCATTCTGTGCAAGTGCATAGTGTTTTTTTTTAAGCAACTGGCAATCCTCAGGTACAGTTTAGACAGAGGCTGAACAAAGCCAAGGGAACTTGCCCCCCACAACTCCTAGAAATAGGAGCCTGGTGTCACCCCAGTGACACCTTAACAAGCTGAGGGTCACTAAGATACCTCATTCGCATATTCATGAAAGACTAAAGGCTGTGGCCAGTGAAACAAAGTGCACAAAAAGATTTTGTTTTATCAGCCAAGTGAAAATCCGCTTTAGAAAAAAGTAAATCCACACGGGGACTCTTGCTGTCACCAAACCTTCACTTGTCTAGAGCAGCCAGCACCTCATTAAAGAAAAGCAAGGACACACAAATGAATGCGCCACCACACACAGGCAAGCTCATTTCACCATCTGCCTTCTAGTGTCCAGAGGGGCAAAAAGCTTAAATGACACTCCTGAATTTTCTCTCCTGCAGGTAGAAAAAAGCCAGATTCCCAGGGGGACAAGAAACACTCTCCTGCAAGGTCAATCTGCTAGAAAGGAATAAGAGAGAATTTAGTTTATCCATCAACACAATGCCACTCATCACATTAAACACTTGTAAATTAAGAGCCCTGTTATAATTCACCCATCATATCTGGATAAAGGCTTTGCTAATTCAGTGCATCAGCTCTGGGGTTAGAATAGAGTTCCTGACCAGCTGGGCAATTCAATTTACTCCTCCTTTTACCCTCCCATTTTTAGTGAACTAGCCCCTTTCCTTGTGCATTATCCAGGGGAGGAGACATCCAAACTGACAGAACTAGACAGTGGCAGACTTACATTATTTATTTCAAAAAGAAAGGCCATGATAAAGCAACTTAAATAATTACTCTAAGCATTCTCTTTATGTCCCCATCTTCCTGACAATCACATTGAAGATTTTGGGAGCTAGAATCTTTGTGAAGTTGTAAGTACCACTCTAGAAGCTCACTCCCACCAGGTTAGAGAGTCGTTTTAAAAACACACACATTTAACTCACCTAAAAAATCGCATAGTAGAGAGCTTTTCAATGACATAATATCAAAGATACCTTTGGGGAGTGTGGGGCAAAAGGTAAAAACCAACCTCAAGTTTTAACATATTTCATCCAACTTCCCGAAGCAAACTCATGTTCAATTTGTATTACCTTTCACTCAGACTGTGTGGAGGAGAAAAGCCGACAGGAAAGCGAGCACCCTAGGATAACCAGCAACAAAAGACAGCTGGCTGAAACTCAAGTAAAGGGCAGGAGGAAGACGAAAGCTATCTTTCTCTGTGGCTAATTTTTTCCACCCCAGTTAAATTTTCCACTACCGGGGAAATTGGCCCAGTATGTATTTGTAGAGCGCAGAGAAATACGCGTTAGGGCAGCGCTACACCGAGTCTCAGTTCTGCGGCACGTTAACTGCCAGGCCAGGCAAGGTATGCCAGTCGGGTTCCACTGGTGGAGCCAAAAGCTAAATGGGAGGCTCCCGGCAGCGGACACTCATGCGGCTCAGTAGCAATACTGTAATCTGAACGACAGGACACCTGAAACCGGGTTAAGTCTCCCAGGCCGGGCTCAACGGTTTTCCTTTGCATTCAACAATCTGTTTGAAGAACTGTGGATGCCAGGCTTGGGGGGGGGGGGGGGGGGCGGATTATTCTAACCCCGACGTTTCCTGGGGTCGGAAACTCGAGGCAACTCTCTTGGTCAGCGCAAGGACAATACACAAAGGAAGGGGACAGCGTGTTCCTTGGGATCTCAGCTCTGAGAAGGGGCATTTTGGAGCTGGGAATTCCCAAATCAACCAGAATCCCAAAGAAGCACCGGAAATGCTTCCGACTGCTTCAAAGGGAAGTCGATTTGCAAATCAAAGTTGCAGGAACTCCGGGCGCCCAGCCTACTTCAGCGGGTTACTAAGGAACACCCAACAAGTTTGGCCACCGGGGGCTCGGCGTGACAGCGCCGCGCCGCACGACTAGAGAAGCAACTTGTCGCTCGGGCGCCGGGCCAGAGCGTCCAGCCGTCTCCGCGCCCGGAGCGCAGGAGAGGACCCGAGACGGCGCTGGGAAAGCGCAGGTCCCAGCCTCGGAACCAGATCCCTGAACTGAAAGGCGCTGCCGGGTCTCACCTGGACCGCTTAGCTTCCAGGGGCTTCTCCCCGACAGTGAGACGTTTCACCACGAGCACTTCACCTGCCTACCAGCCCCGGGTCGGTGCAAAATTAACAAAAGAGCCAGTGACCAGCCCGGGGGATGGAGGGGGGTTGGGGTGGACAAGACCGGCGCAAAGTAGAGTAAGGAAATGAGGGAAGGCAGTAAAGCTTTCGGCTGAGAAAGAAGGGAAGAGGCGAAACAGAGATGATGGGGTCTACCCCAAGCACCCCGACTCTGGGAAGAAAAACCAAGAAGGATAGAAAGAGCAAGAAGGGGGAATGGGTTCTTTACCCCTCTTCCCATCTCACACACACACACACACACACACACACACACACACACGCTTTTCCCATCACACGCATCACACACAACCCCTTTTTCTCCTTACCCAGCATGGAAAAGATGAAATCCTTGGCTGTGTGAATCTCCAGTGCTCTCTGGTCATCGTATTCCCGCTGGTCGTGCTTCGTGAATTCTTGGATGAGTTTGTTCAATTCCTCCACTCGAGCTCCCGACCTGAAATCCAGCTCCGGGAACGCAGGCTTGTTGTTACAGCCCAGGGAGGCTGCCTTGCTGGCGGTGGGAGCCGCCATCTTCATGCAAAACGCGCCGAGTAGCAGCTCCGCCGCGGCGGCAGCACCCACCCCCGCCCCCCACCCCGCCCCCCGGGGCCTCCTCCCTTCGCCGGCTCCCGGGCTTTGGCCCCGGCCCGTGGGCGGGCGGGCTGGAAGGCTAGGTCTGGGCGGGCGGTCCCAGCTCTCAGGGCTCCCGGCGTCCGGGATTCAGGAGCTGGACTGCAGCGAGGGTGCGTGTGTGGCCCCGACACCCTCTCCTGCCGCCCCACGCCGGCCCCGATGCTGCAGGTCCCTGCCCTCCTCTGGACCTCGCTGGCAGCGGCGACAGCGGTCGCAGCGCCAACCCGAGCCAACCCCCCTGAGCAAGGAAAGTGAAGTGGAAACAATGTGAAATTCACCAGCTCTGAAATCAACAAGCTGCCGGCTCCAGGGCTACGGAGCCAGCACCAGCGTCCCCATTTAAAGGGACAGCGCACCCAGTGGAAAGAAAAATAAATAAATGACAGAGGTCTGCGCGCCTAAGCCACTTGGCAATCTGTGCTCGGGCAGACGTTCGAGGTGTAGACGTATTCTTTCTCAGTCTCCACCCCCTTTGGGGCTGGGCTTGACAAGCACTTTCAAGGAGACGGAGTCTTCCTCTGTCTGATTTTAAGGGCGGTGTCCTGGACTAGGACAGCTCTACCGGCGTGTTTCCATCCCAAGAACTCCAGTGCCGTTAGATCGTGAAGGAACCTGCTTAAGGAAAATGAAATCTATATGCTACCCTTTTCGCACAGATTGCCAGACATGATAGGATTTAGCTTATCAAAAATGAATGTCCACCCGCCCCGTAAAGACACTCCTGTTAACCACTAAATTATCCCTGTCATTGCCCTAGGTAGTTAATTTTCCTTTATAACAGCTAATTCAACTTAACGTAGCATGAGTTAACGAGGTCCAGCCTTCTCTGGTATAAAGACAGGGAAACTAAAGTGAACCAGTGAGTATGGGGGGAGGGAAGTAAAGAATGAATTGCCACAGGTTCCAATAAATGTTGAATGATGAGGTAAAAATTCATTCAATACAATTTGAACACTCACTATTTACCAGGCAGAATGCCAGAATCTGGGGGAATGTTATAAGCCAAAGGACACGGTTCCATCTAAGTCATGGTGCTTTAGACAATATAGGATTTCAGAGGTGTTTTTACTGGTTACGAGGTTTTGACTGAAACATGTAGGAGGCCTATTGGTTCTTAGAAACAAAAGTTATAGTCCTCACTCTCCAAATTTCCTTTCTTCTCTAACCCACAGTCCACTTTTTCATTTTCTTACCTGGGTTCTCATGACCAAGAATGTAAACTGTTTCAGTAGACTGGGAAAGTAATCCAGGTTCTGCCTTCCTTTCCCTACAAAACGGAGATAATAATAATGCCTGTCCCCTAGGCTGTTTTGAGGACTACATGAGATAAAGTGGGTTGTGCACAAAGTGCAAGGTCAAAAACAACTAGTGCATAATTAAATATTACCTGCTACCATTGTTGTTGTCAGTAATCCTTTCACTTTTCCGATCTGTTCTCCACATTGTTGCCACCGTGATCTTTACAAAACTCAGATCTGACTACTGACATGCTCCTGGAAGCCTCTCCTCTTTACTCCCCAATTTTAAATCAAGCCAATTCCTACTTTGTCTGGAAAGCCTTCCCTAAGACTCTCCCCCAGAGTGGTAACAACATTCATTGGATCCTTTTAGAAGTTTTTATGACACCGATGAATTTTACGTTGTTTTATCATTGTTAACACAGTTTCAAACTATAAGATTATTTAGAATAAAAATTACATCCACACTTCCCAAATATAAACAATGATGTAAACCAATGATATTTCAATAATTTTTTAAAGATTTATTTTATTTATGCTACAAGAGCTGGGGTGTAGGCCAGAGGTTTGGGGTAAGAGGATTCACCAGCGACAGAGTGGGAAGCAGAACAGGTAGATTGACTGAAATATTCTGCTGACCGCTGACCCATGGGGGTTAGCTTCCTGGCTGGGGATCAAACTCATGCTGCAGTGGCTGCTGATAGCTTGATAGTGTGGAGACTTAACCCCCTGCTCCACCAGGGAGCCCCATCAATAAAAATTTTAAACAAAAACATACCAAATTTTAATATGAAAAGATTTAGGTAAGCCCAGGTAAATAGCACTTCTACCAGGTCATGGAACCAACATAAGTGTTCTTCAACTGATGAACAGATAAAAGGAATTGTGGAATACAGACTCAATGGAATACTATACAGCTCTGGAAAAGATGAACTAGTGGCTTTTGGAACAAAATGGATGGAACTCAAAGTAATTATATTAAGTGAATAATTCAGAAAATGAGAGATCAGATGTTTTCACTCATCTGTGGAAGAAAATAACAAAAATATGCATAGGCAAAATATAGTAGGAATAAATGTGATGGTTGCCTGAGGGAACAGGAGATAGAAGGAGGGAGGCAGAGAGAGTATTGGCACAGGTAGTTTGAAGGAGGGTAAGTGCACATATGGAAGAGCAAAAATGTAACCCCAAAATTAAAATTTAGGAAAAAAAAAATCAGGAATGAAAAAGTGTTACATTTCATCCATCTTTGTATTTCCCTGGATGAAGGTTGTCAAAATTTATTTAATCAATTAATGAATGAAAAACTTTGGTAGGATCAGTTAATTTCCTTTGCTTTTGGTTTACTTCTCTCACCACTCAGTATTGAAGAAGGATGCATGTCCGGATAAATGTTGATGGACTGATGAGGTAACTACTTAAAATCTCCAGCTTTTGCAGTTCTGCTATGCTGCCCTGACTTCTCAGTGAGAGGATGTTACCGTTTTCCTGGGCAGTGGAATAAGCTGTGCAAATGCTTGGAACTCTAGCACAAATTGATTCACTCCCACCTGTCAGTGCATCTCACATGATCAATGATAGGCCTCTACAAGACAGCGGGCTAGGGCACAGTCATTCCATGGATCAGCATCATCCTAGTTCATTCATACAAGTAACAATCTCCAAACTACATAACACAGTTTGAAATAAGTCTGGCAAAAAAGTCATTTTTTTCCAAAAGCATGATAAGTCTCTTCCCTTGTTTTTCCTCTTACTGTGATACTTATATATAGGGAGAAATAGTAGTTGACAGGAAATTGTTCTAACTGTGCCTAAGTACTGGGTCTTGGATATTTGGAATGAGTGAATCAATGAATGGTGGCTAGGTTCTACATTAGCTATTCAGCCAAATCAGAATTCTAATTAATTACTGACCTTGAAAGACTTTTATATGTAAGGATGTCCTCAATAGTCAACTAAATACCTTTCATATGTTCTTATAGAACTCTTATACAAGATGGTATAAAATATCTTGTAGAATTGGCAAAATAGGGAAGAAGGATCAGGACCATAATTTCATGAATTAGTCTCTTGTGAGCTGTTTTAACCTCTGGGTCCTATGACCTCCTCAAGGGTAAGTGCCATGTCTACCTAGTACCACTGGAAGCACTGCATTTAATACAACTCCTGAGGCATCCTATGACCTTAATTAATACGCTTGAATAAATGAAAGAATAATACCAAATAAGCCCCAAAGTCCAGGAATTCAGTCTTTTTTTTTTTTTCAGGAATTCAGTCTTTGGATGTGTTTTGCTACAATTAAATACCTCGATGTAATCTATCTATGGTTTCCCAGAACAGAATTATGGTAAATACAGGTGTTTCTGCTTTATTTTAATTAAATGCTTCTAAATTCATGCCTTTCCCTCTCCCCCAACACCCCCCCATAAGTTATATGACCTAGAAAGTTGATGGAGAGACAGATTAAACAAAAGAGAAAATAATTATTTGAAGATATTAAAGAATGTTCAGCCATGTAACAAAAGTATGTATTTCTAAAGTTT